TGTTCCATTGCCCTTTCAACATGGCTATGAGGTCAGCCTTGCTATCCTTTTATGTTCCTTTAATTAAGCCCTTACTCTGGGCAAAAGCAAGGTACAAATTATGGCTTTATGAAAAATGCTTTCTCAGAAAGATGGGTTAGTTATGACAAAATGATGGCAACTTAAACTCTAAGATTATGCATTTATTCAGATTATTATACATTTATTTAGATCATTTCTCTTTAACTGTGAAGAGGCTAGTATCCTGGGTTCCTGGGAGCTTTAACAGAAAAATCTTTGTTGGTGCCAGGGTTTTCATTACAAAAAAACCAACCAATCAACCAACCAAACAAACAAAAAACAACAAAACAAAACAAAACAAAAACCCTAAAACAAAAAGAAATAAATTGATTGCAGACCTGATTAGGGAAAATATTCTTTCAGAATGCTTCTTCTCCAAAGAAATATAGTAAGTAGCAAAGAATTAAGTTTGTTGGAGACAGCAGAAGATGCAAGTCAATTATTAAATAGGGTAACATAGGCTGATTACCAGATTCCTCACATGTATACATATAAAACACATTCTTGTTTTGCTTAGTTTACTATTTGGACTCACTTTTGAAAAGAGTCAGTAGTTTTATTTAATTCCGCTAAACTTTGATTTAGGGTCTAACTGAAAGCCCTATTTGTACAAAGATGCCAGGCAAATTAGCTATATGTCTTCCCCCCACGCCCCCAGGCTGAACCTTCTTTCTAAAACCAAAACACTACATGATATTTTGAAGCACTTGTTGGCTAACACAGACCAAATGAAAGTTGTATCTCAAACAGCAAAAATTTTTTTCTTCACAAAACAAGGAAAGAAATGGAAGTAATCTTGAATTCCTGAATTTATTTTTCAAAATATCCATAAATATGCTACTGATATAATTAGGTTATGCAAATTTTACATACAGACATGTTTAGCAAAATATCTCAAGGTATGGTATTCTACTCGGTGGCATGGGCAGATCACCAATTGCATAGAATCTAAAAACCTTTATTGTGAAAAGAAGAAGATAATTCTGCACAGCAAAGGAAACCATCAACAAAATGAAAAGGCAATCTATGGAATAGAAGAAAATATTTGCAAATCACATATCTGATAAAGGCTATTAATATCCAAAATGTATAAATAACTCATTTCCCTCGATAACAAGAAACCAAATAATCCAATTGAAAAATGGGCGGATCTGAATACACATTTTCCCAAAGAAGGCACACAGACAACAGACAAATGAGAAACTCTTCAACATCACTCATCATCAGGAAAATGCAAATCAAAACCACAGTGAGATGTCACCTCACACACCTTTCTATAAGACAAGAAATAATAAGTGTTGAGAAGGGTGTAGAGTAAATGAACCCTGTGCACTGTCAGGTGGGCATGTCAATTCGTGCAGCCACTGTGGAAACCAGTATGGAAGTGCCTCAAAAAATTAAAAATAGAAACACCAGAGTGTGACCAAGATGGCGACACAGGGTATACCTGACTTTGTTCCCCCTCAGAGGAAGATCAAACAGCTATAGGATGTGAGAATAAGACACCACCGAAAGAATCGTAGAATACAGGGGTGAGGCTGAAGCACCTCAGAAACTAAGACAGACTGCATCATAAGGGTAAGGGAAGCAGCTACACATTGAGCAGACTGCCCCTGCCCCCCAGGCCAGCGAGGCACCTCAAAGAGAGGTCTCCTCTGACCTTCCAGTTCTTCTGGTGGACAAGAACCCAGAGGGGATAACAGCACCCTCCCCTCATTGTGGGTCACTTTTGCAGGTCACTTAATCTTATCTTGCACCAGGGGGATTAGTGGGGAATCTGTAGGGCTCAGCCACTAGGAATCTGTGGAGATGGGGTGGGGGAGGGGCTTGCAACAACCAGCATATGATCTTGGCAGACTGAGTTCATACTAGCAGGGCCCAAATAGTTGTCCCAACTGCCGGCTTCATTTATCTGCAGGACCGAGTTCTGTGGTGTGCACATGTGCCTGATTCACATTCTCGTTTCGTCAGCCCTAGGGCCCAGTTTGCCCCTTCCCAGGGAGGGAGCTGAATCATAGCTGCATTCACTGTAAAGAGGATCTTCCAAACCCCTCTGACCAGAAGGACTGGAGACAACTCCTGGAAGCTGTGTGGCTGGCAGACCTTGAGCCAAGAGGCAGGTAGATGGAACTGATACTTTGCAGAACAAAGCCAATGGCCTTGTTCAGTCAGGCAACTTGGGGTGTCTGTCCACTTGAGTTAAGACAAAAAAGAGCTTTACCACCCTTAGAGCTACTTCTGTTGTACTCAGGCAGTGAATCTAATTCATTTGCCTGCGCATCACTGAATACATCCTTCAGCCAGTCCAACCAGACCATGGGAAGCTTCATAGCCCATTCAACAGGCCTATGTATAGTGACCATATGTTAGGCCAGAAAACAAGTCTTAGCAAAACAAGAAAATCCTACCAAGTTTATTCTCTGACCACAGGGGAAAACAGAATCAGTAACAAAAGAAAAACTAGAAAATTCATCAACACCTGAAAATTAAACAACACTCTTGTGAACAACCAACAGATCAAAGAATAAATTAAAGAGGGGAAAAAAATTTCTTGAGGCAAACAAAGATGAAATACAACACACCTGAACTTATGAGATACAGCTAAAGCAGTTCTAAGAGGGAAATTCATAGCAATAAATGCATACATTAAGAAGAAAGATCATAAATGGGGTGCCTGGGTGGCTCAGTCAGTTAAGCATCTGACTTTGTTAAGCTCAGGTCATGATCTCACGATTTGTGGGTTCGAGTCCCATGTTGGGCTCTGTGCTGACAGTTCAGAGCCTGGAGCCTGCTTCATCTGTGTCTTCCTCTCTCTGTCCCCTACCCACTCACACTCTGTCTCACTCAAAAATAAATAAACATTAGAAAAATTATGTATATATATATATATGTGTGTATATATATATATGTATATATGTGTGTGTGTATG